TGGCCCGGAAGGAGTCCGCGCGCCCGGCCCCGTGGGGGGAGGCACATGTTTTTGCTGTTTGCGTGAAGGATCCGGGCGAGCGCGGGGGGGGAGCATTACCCCGCGAAATCGCTGCGGTTGGAGGCATGGGGCGGTGCATTGCCGTGCATCCCGCGAGCTGTGACCGGCGGGGTGAAGTGCGGACAAGGGATGACCGGCCCCGGCGGCAGGGAGGCGTAATCGGCCGTGTAGACCATTGGATCCGGCGGCGGGGAGCGCCAGGACCCCGGAGGGGGCGGTGCAGGAATGAGCGGCGGCCCGACCCCGGCGCGGACTGCGCAGGGGGTGACTGGACCCTGCCACCACGTGACGTGACCGTGGGAAGTGGCGGGAAGCGACCCGCGCTGTGTACTGCCGACCAGGGGGATGCGGAATAGCGACCCGGTGGATGGGGGGGCGGCGAGTAGCGACCCCTGGGTGCCGGGGGTGTGGAATAGCGACCTCTGGAGGGTCCCGTGACCGGGGGGACTATGCAATAGCAACCCCTGGAGGTGGGCCTGGCTGGGGGGCTGCCCAATAGCGACCCCTGCGTGTGAGTGGGCAGTACTGGGTGGTGATTGGACCATGGTGGAGCGGAGTTGCGACCCGGCCGGCGGACGGCAGCTTCCTTGGAGAAGTTGAGTGGGTACCCTTGACCCTCTCAACAGGTGGATAGCAGACAGCAGCCGACTGCAGCATCCTTGGAGCAGCTGAGGAGGTACTCTTCACATTCTCAGTAGGTGAATAGGAGCCAGCAGCGGACGACTTTTTCCTTGGAGCAGCTGAGGAGGTACTCTTGACCTTCTCAGCAGGTGGATAGCAAGCAACACAACTGAGGCTGAGCTACCCCTACAGTCGCCCACGACATTCTATGGAGTACGACAGCTCCCCAAGAGGCTCAAGAGGCTGCACCAGAAAACCGACCCACAGGCTGGGCGGGTGCCGCCACCAAGCCCGCCTCCCGGCGGCTAGTGTTAGATTAGAGGGCCGTTCAACTTCAATAGGGCAGTAGGCCGGGAGGTCGGGGGCGAAGAGCTGAGTCAAAGATTGTACCGAGCCAGTTTAGACCATTGTGAAGGGTTATCCCTGCCTAGGGAATCCTGCCTAAGGGGTGAACCTAGGTTGAAGTAGAGGTGACCACTCGGATCCGTTATTAGCGGACAGAGGTTAATTTCCGTTAATTTTCCGTTAAATAATGGAAAATAACGAAAAAAGACAAAAATTAACCAAAAATTAACGGATTTTTGGATTTTTTGGGGATTTTTGGGTTTTAGTCATACTTATAGTTTATGGAATTCGCTATTAGAAAGTATGTTTGTATTTTATTTCAACCTATGCATACTAGATTTTCAACTAGCCGCAGTTGTTGTGATTTTTGGGGGTTTTTTTCGATTTTTTTGGATTTTTTTCGTTTTTTCTGAATTTTTCTCCCTTTTTCTTTAACGAAATTTAACGGACGGCTGATAAAAATTAACGAGCCGGATTTAACGGACCGGATGGCACCTTTGAGTGGCCACCTCTAGGTTGAAGCCGGCGGGAGCCCCACACGGTGTAGGGGGGTGCGACTAGGACCAGGATAAATGGGACATAGACCAGCTTGCACCTTACATAGCCCCACGGACGGCAGTCTGAGTGGGAGCTCTTGGTGCCTATCACTCGTAACAAAGGGCATTAGGGGAGCGGTCTATAGTTGCTGCGCAGACACCCCTCTTGTTCCGAGCTGAGGCCAATGCCCTCCGAGCTGCCATCTGAGCGAGGGGTGGCAGAGGGCTTCGACTGGGCTGGGAAGTGAGGCAGTTGTGTGGCCGTTCCCGGGTAGTCCTCCCTAGGCACGGGGGACAGGGAAGGTTCAATTCTGATTAGACAGTGGCATTCCCGGGGGTGTGGCAGGGAAGCCTTTCTTCTGAGGGGTGAGTAAAATACTCCTTGAGTATTCTTAAATTCCCTGTTGCTATAACCTAGGAAGAAACTGGTTGTAAAGACTGTTCTGGAGCTGCTATGGTGAAGCCATTTGATACCTTGTCAGATGGGGAAGTATAGTACTCACTAACTTGGATACGTCATTTGGTGGATCCTAGGGCTTACTCTGAGCGAGTAGAGACTATGTACCAAGTAGCCTTGGTATTGTGAGGCTTCCAAAAAGCCTTTGACTACGGTCTACCCTCAATCTATTCAGTTCAGTCAGTGTCATCAGTTTTCAGTCATTAGTATCATCCATTCAGCCTGTTCAGTTGTATTTTGCTGGGATTATTGGGGATTCGTCCTGCATTCTTTATTTCATTCTGCATTCTGCTATTTTTGCGTGAGTGAGCAGCTATGGCGGATAGATGGGATCCATTGGCGCTTTTGTGGTCAGAGATGGAGGAGGCTATAAGTCCTGAGGTTGCTCTCTCTGTGTCTCGCCCTACAACAGTGACTTGTATTGTGTCCGTATCCGAGGCAGTTGATGATGTACAGCTATGGCCTCAGTCCCCTTTATATACTGGTATATTATCCATGGAGCAACATGTAGATCGCATCGTATCGGGGACAGGAGCATGTACTAATAGAGAGTTGTACTCGCCACATATGCGGAGTCAGTGGGCGTTCACTCAGCCGCACACACAGACGTTGCCTGACCATACAACCTCACCTTACGCGTGTTATTTCAGACCGCGTAACCCCCAAGTATTCACAGGAGAGCGTGGGCAAGACTTTGTGTCCTGGCTCAGAACGGTAGAGGATTACCTGGATGCCGTTCTTTGTTTAGAGCAGCAGGCGATAGTCTTCGTCATTTTATTGTTGGCGGGTACTGCTAGAGAGTGGTGGGACGCAGAGTGTATCTCGCATAGAGAGGAGAGGCCAGAGTCACTTGAGGAGTTAAAGGGTTTGTTGAGGGCGCGCTTTGAGTCCCATATTCGAGAGAGTCACGCTAGGACCAAACTCTAGAGGTGGCCACTCAAAGATGCCATCCGGTCCGTTAAGTCCGGTTCGTTAATTTTTAACAGTTGTCCGTTAAATTTCGTTAAAGAAAAAGGGAGAAAAATTCAGAAAAAACAAAAAAAATCCAAAAAAATTGAGAAAACCCCCAAAAAATCACAACAACTGCGACTAGTTGAAAATCTAGTATGCATAGGTTGAAATAAAATACAAACATACTCTCTAATAGCGAATTCCATAAACTATAAATATGAATAAAACCCAAAAATCCCCAAAAAATCCAAAAATCCGTTAATTTTTGGTTAATTTTTATTTTTTTTCGTTATTTTCCGTTAACTAACGGAAAATTAACGGAAATTAACCTCTGTCCGCTATTAACGGATCCGGGTGGCCACCTCTACCAAACTCCTCAAGTTATTACAGAAGAAGGGGGAAGATGCGTGCATATACATGGCACGAACTAGATCCATATTGCACCGGGTACCAGGGGTAGATGATAGAGGTGGCCACCCGGATCCGTTAATAGCGGACAGAGGTTAATTTCCGTTAATTTTCCGTTAATTAACGGAAAATAACGAAAAAAGACAAAAATTAACCAAAAATTAGCGGATTTTGGGATTTTTTGGGGATTTTTGGGTTTTAGTCATACTTATAGTTTATGGAATTCGCTATTAGAGAGTATGTTTGTATTTTGTTTCAACCTATGCATACTAGACTTTTAACTAGCCGCAGTTGTTGTGATTTTTTGGGTTTTTTTTTTGATTTTTTTAGATTTTTTTCGTTTTTTCTGAATTTTTCTCCCTTTTTCTTTAACGAAATTTAAAGGACAGCTGATAAAAATTAACGAACCGGACTTAACGGACCGGATGGCATCTTTGAGTGGCCACCTCTAGTAGACGAGCCGACGGCTGTGCACATGTGGATCTCCGGTTTGAAGGAGCCTTTCCGCTTTGAGGCTATCAAGACCGCCCCGAAGACTCTAGCTGATGCGGAATTACTGGTCGCAAGCATGGAAGATGTGCTCAGTAGCAAGGCTGAGAGTGACCTGCAGAGTGAAACGAAGAAACGAGGCAAACGTGCAGGAAATGCCAACAAAATTTTGAGAACACCACCAAAAGCTCAAAATAGAAGGAGGTGTTCCCAGGGATCTCATAGCGGGAATGGGCATGCTAGACAACCTCACCCCTCTCTACCGACTGGCCCATGTTTCCACCCGGGGTACCAGTCTAGAGAGTCTGGACACAGTGGATGAGGGAGATTCCATCGCATGCTTCCACAATGCACACGTCACAACATGCTCCTTCTTGCTCCTTGTAACACATCACAAAACCTAGAGGGCATACGCCCCATTGAGATTCTACATGCGTCATTGCCACATATATGTGCAACTCCCAGGAGACTTTTATGATGTCCACATGTGTCGCACTTTTGATACATTTGCCACGACAACTGCTCTAAGCAGTTGAGTCAGTGTTGAGTCAATGATTGCTCTCTAACCCAGCAAACTGCAATCACCGCATCATGCCCCATCACGCCCCATCACCAGCCATTGGGCCGGTTTACACATCCAGGAGCGCCATGCGTGCAATGCACGGGGCTCCGGACTTGTTCTGTGCTTTACTGTGACTTACTGCCTCCCCCGTCCCCTCTGAATTACTTTCTGTCTGATCACGCTCAGTCTGTGGCTGCTCAGGAAGCTAGAGCACAGACCCCCTTACATTAGCAAGTGCAAGTCTTTCGCGCTCCCGTGTCGCGGTTGACACAAAAGCGAGTTGGGGACGAATCCCCCCAAGCCCCCGCACGTGCAAGATACGGGGACCAGTTCCCTGCACCCACTCCACGCCCACCAGTGCGATGGCCTTCGAGCAGCGCATCCTGGTGAACCCACCCGCGCCTTGCGCCAGTGCATGTCCCCGCACAGCAGGTAGGCGTGCGGCTGCCGGGCCATGCAAGGCGGCAAGGGTGCTGTGCTGATGGCATGACGCCCGCCCCTGTGAAGGCTGTTTTTGCCCATCTGACTGTGCTATTCCGATGCGCTTTTTGCGCCGCATGCAGGGCGTGACATGGGATGCGTTCGCCTTCCGGCGTTGCGCCGCGGTGCGCGGCGGCTGAGGATTGCGTCCCAGGCGGTTGGCAGCGAAGTGGATGAGATGACCAAGGCAGAGAAGCGTTGGGAAAGCCAGGTGAAGGACCACGCCCCGTGCGCATTTCGTGCCAGTTGGGCCGGTGACACTTGGAGCGGAATCATGGCTCATCTGCGCCTTTCTTTTGACCCCTCAGGTGAAGCAAGGCAAGGTTCGCAACGTCACTTGCAAAGGGGCGGGAAAACTGTTGGCAGAGGTGAGGTGGCCGATGGATTGAGCACTGTCTTGGTGTCGACGCATTGAGCCGCCCGTGACGGGGTCTGACCGTCCCCGCAACTTTGCGCAGGACGAGGATTGGGTTCTCTTGGACGTTCGGCCGCCCAAGGAAGTCAAGGCGGTGAGTGGTCGGCGACACGTGGAATCGAGGTGTGGGTGACAAGGAGCAGCCCAACGCAAGATCGCCTTTGCCTACAGGCCGCGCGCTGGGTTGTGCATCCATTCCGTCAGTACCAAGAAAGGGTCGCGTGCTGGATGGGGAGGGCAGTTCCGCAGCATTCAGGATGCAAAGTGAATGTATATTATACACTTCAACCCAACTGACCTGCGTTTGTGTTGATTGGACAGGCCAAAGTGAAAGACAGTGTGACCGTGCCCCTGTTTGTGCCTGACAAGGACATGTCGCTGCCAAGCCTCATGAAGCAGATGTCTGCTTTTGGCATGGGGGGATGGTGGCTGGGTACTACGCACATGGTGCCCAACGAGAGGTTCATATCGGAAGTGCGCGCAAAAATACCAAAAAATAGCAAGGTTATTGTTGCGTGCCAGAAAGGGCTGAGGTAGGTGGCCGAGGGATACCTGGTACTGGCATATGAGGTTGTGCATGCTGGGCACAACATTAATTTGGGCAGTTTGCGTTGCCTTGCTACCACTTCACTCAAGCCATTGCATGTACAACATCTGTCTGAAAACTCGTGTCCGATCTCCAATTTGCACATATGAAGGTCAGAACGAGCAACTTGAAAACGCTGACTGAAACAACTGGGCAGCACAGTCTCCAGAGCTATCTGCAGAGCCCTCAACTGTTCCCATTGGTGCGATCATTCTTGCGATATGTCACGATGAGCTGACATGTGACTATGCATTTTGTACGTGCATTCGGTGGGATGCATCGAGCTTGCCTTGCCCTTCGAAAGAGGGCGATCGAGCTGGGCTGTCACTAAGAGAGAGGCATGCTGTGGAGACTGATTCTTTTCCTTGCCAACTTTGTTTCGAATCGAGCCGCATCTTTAGTCCACCCGAAACCACCAAAGCCAAGTTTGGGTTGACAACAAGAGCCATGTGGAGGTGGTGGCCAAAGGCCAAACGACACCTTGATCAGTGCAGGAATATCTACCTTGCAGATTTGCCAAGGTTTGGAAGCCCTGTGTACTGACCCCAAGCAAGAAGATTGCCTATATTAATGCAAACACGGTCAATTGTTAAAGACAAGGATTGTGAAAGCACGATTCAGCACAACAGAAGAGACAATCCACAAAGAGTATGATAACAATGCTGCAAAGCTCTTGAAAGGGTGCAGCAGTGCCTACTTGTTGTCTAAAACAAGGTTCTTCGTGAACACTGGGGAAATGAATGGGGACATACCCGAATAAGGCCAATGCAACAATTTAGAGCAATGATGGTCTGCGTGGAACATTATAGGAACATTTTCAATAAGGTTATGATTGTCGTGTAGTATGGTAATGACTAATATAACCAAGATCAACCTAAAATCAATCAGGATATCCAAATCTGGTGGCGAATTGACTCATTGAGTCGTTCTCAAAAATTATGGGGTGAAAACTAGATCGGACGCGACTTTTGAGACAAAGGTAGTACATTTCATGCTTGCAGCTTTGTGCAACTCAGGGGAAACAGTCTAGCTTGTTGCACAAATGGAACTATTCCGATCTGACTAATTATTCGAAATTTGCACCATTTATGTTCCAAGGCCATTCCTTGCAATCGCCATTGCTGCTGCACAGGATTTTGTACTATATCCATGTCCATACTGTACAGATACTGCACTAAGGGGAAGATCTAAAGAGCGGTGAAGTTCGGTAGGTCGAAGTACGCAAAACGGACACCATGTCTACCACAAAGCAAAGGACTGCTCAGCTTATGCTATAGAACTGTTGTTGATGTTTGCAAACTGGGCAGTGATGTCACAGCAGTTCAGAAATTGTTGTGCAGCTCTTGGGCCATGCCCTGCTCCCAGCCCCCCAACCCCCCACCCCCTCCTCCACCCCCCCTTTTTGTCAGTGTCGACCCCAATGATCTGAAATGCGCTGCAGTTGGTCAAGGTCAGGGTGAATGGGGTAGTGTGCCTTCGTGGCAGTTTCCCTGGTTGTTGGCAAGTGATCCAATCACTGGTGGATTTCATGAATCAGCCTTATCTTGAAGGGTGTCAACACTGTTGATGCAGAGAGGGAGAATAATGGGAAAAAACGAAACGCAGATGTGCATGCAGTGCACGGAAGTCAAGGTCAATTGAGCGGCCACCACAACGGCTTTCATGCAAGAAACCTTTGAAGGAGGGTAACTCCACATAGGCCCCTTCATGTAGCCCTGTCCACCACATTCCTTGCAACACCACAAATGTGCATTGTCTGCGTGCACCACTTCTGGTGCACTCATGGCAATGTTGGTTCAGCAAGTGGTTGAAGTGCGTTTGCCTGTGCGGGGTAGGATATCCCCAGTTGCTCTGAGGTGTGGTAGCGCACCAGTGTTCATGCCAACTCATGAATCTCAGTTCGGTGTGGCTGTGCAGGTCACTTGCTGCTTGTGAACAGATGGCTTTAAATGGTTACACCACACTTGCCTGGATAAATGGTGGCTTTGACACTGCCAAGCAAGGGGATTTGGCCTTGGAAGGTGCCAAGGACATCCGGTATGCTGGCATTGGTGGTGTTTCTGCTCTGCTGGGCTGGACAGAAGTGCAGCAGCAGGACAAGGAAGAGGCTGGAGATCGCTTGGGAAACATAATTAGAATAGTGAGTTTGGTTAATGTTGAGTATGACACTGCTGTTGGCCACTTACCTGCCACAATAAACGCAAGTCAAGTGCCAAAGATGAAACAGCCTAGGTGGTGCCTGCCTTAGTTTTATTTTTACATGGACAGCAGTAACCACAGCACAGTGTGCTACAAAGACCGATTGGCAGTGTGGGTGTGCATCATTATGCAGTACAGCAATATGCTCATCTGATGTGGGACTCAAAAGGTATGTGTGCCCCATGATGGCCTTGACAATCCTCCTTGTGTGTGCATGACACCTGTCAGCCATGTATTGGTCAGTGGCAGCGTCACTTGTTTCTGTGTTGTGTTGGCGTGAGTTGATTTGACTGGTCAATGAGGTCATCCCGCTTGGATGTGTGACAGTTATTGCTGTGAGCAATTATTGATGTGCCTTGCAGGCGGCCATCATTTTGGTTCTGGACTTGCTTGTCCTTGGGTATGAGCAGTTCTCCTACATGACAGGAGGAAATTGAGCTGGCATCCATTTGCTTGCAACTGAAAAGGGCAGTTGTGGCAAGGATGTGGGATTTCACCTTTTGCACTTGGGGGCAACGCATGCGTCATCAAGCAGGGCATTGTGGTTATGATTTGCTTCAGGGATTGTCTTTGGGGCTAAGCCTGACCGTCTGTACACTGGTACAAAATGGAACTGGGGGTGGGTTGCTATCTGTAAGCATGTACTCATACATGAGATTGGTCGATGATGTTGGGGTGGGCACAGGTCAGGCAAAACAACCTATGGCCATGTCTTTGCCTGGAGCTGACCAGTCCACAGAAACGTGCTGTGTGTGTGCCGAGGGACAGAAGCAGGGGGGGGAGAGGAAGCGGGGAAGAGGGGTGACTAGAAATCGATCTTAACAATCAACTAGTGTCACAGTCATCTGCCGATCTTTCAGTAGAAAGCTAAGGGTTCAAAAATAACAACTAGCCAATAATAAGAATGTTTGTGCCAGCCACAGCCTCAACAGAGCACAACGAATCCAATGATACGAGCAGCATGCCAGCACGACTGCCTGCGCTACTGGTGGCCCCCCACTTGCTGTGCCGGCAAACTCGTCAATGCGTCTGCAGGGAGCTGGATGCACCACCCTCTTTCACACACGATTCCAAGCAATGATGCTAAAAAGGGCACCGATGAAAGTGTTGTTGCAGAGCCGACCATCAAGAGCTTGGACTTAGCTCTCGTGATTGCCACGTTGATGCGACGCCAATCAGCAAGAAGCTGGCCTGCGGCCCTGCAAGTGACACAAGCCCTTGGCTCGCACTTCTGCTGTGTTCTGTTGTTGCTTTGCATCCTCTGGGTTCTTGAGGACTGAGCAGGACTGCAAACTGTGCTAGCAACGCTTGGCGAAGACAGACACAACAAGATGCAGAACAGATTCAGCAATCATGACAGTCCATGTGCACACTGAACGTAGATTCGGGTTTGATCGAGACAAGGATGCAGGATTGCAAACAAAGGCCATGTACTGTGCGTTACCTGTGCTGGTTGGAGCGAACAAATGAAATCAACATGCATTTCTTGTCCCTCCCCTGGTACTTGTCAATGGTCAACACCTCAACGCCATCAACAGCTGCTTCAAGGAGTGCCTGCGTCAGCAACACCACTTGGCCACGGTATGGGGAAACGACCCCGATATCCTGAGAGGCGACTCCGGCACCCAACAGAGCGCGCACGAGATGAACAATTATTTGTGATTCGCCTTCGTTGATCGTCGACTCCGAGGCTCTGGAGTCCTGGAGTCCAATGAGGTCAGTGTCCAGGAACTTCACTGAACTGCACGGCTGGAGTGTCTGCGCACAGCAGCAAGCGCTCACAACACACACACATGTCTTCCCCATTGCTGCCCTTGACTGAGGCGGGGCCCTTCATGGAAAATGGAATTCTGGGCTATGTTTAGTAGATTCATTTGCACGGGACAAACACATAATGCAGCGTGGTGCTGAATCGTCTTGTAAGCTGATGAAAAGCAATGGCAACACCACCAACAACAGATGCAACAAGACATTTGGAATGTAGCTTCTGGTTCTCTTCATAGCCAGCCATGATCTCGTGCTGCCACAGACAAGTATCCTTGCGTACACAAAGTGCATGCTGCTGTGTGCAAACGTTATAGGTTTGTTCCCTTTTCTGGTCCGCTGCATTTGGGCAAGGGTGGGGTGCTCCAATGTATGGCCTATTTCTGTCTGCTATACGTCGAAAAGACGCATGGTTGTTTGCGATTCCAATTGGCCAGCACCACGCTACTCCTGGTGTGCCAGACGAACTTGCTTGCTAGCACGTCACACGGAGATGTTACCCAGGAAACTTGATTCTGCACCAAGGGCACAGGAATAGAGCAGCAACAGAAAAGTGCCAGGAGCCCAAAGCCCTTATCACTAGCTGTCAACATGACAAAGCACCTAGAGTGGAAACAAGGCAGGGAGCCGTGCCTCCCAGTCACGTTGTGCCTTGAGACAGTTCTGTCCATGTGGATTCCCGGGTTGTTCTTGACTGCTATGGAATTTTGCACTGGAACAAGACTCCCAAGAACATGGGCGCGTCATGAACAGAATAAGAAAAACAGTGTGCAAAAGCCGCAGAAATGTCCAGGTGCCGGTCACATTTGAGCTATGCAATTCCCAAGAAGGTGTTCCTGGACTCTGCCCAAGCAACCATTCAGATAACCCATCATTAAGACCATGCCAGATCAACGCAATTCTGTGTTGGCACAGTCTGAGTTTGTTTAGCCAATCATTGCAGTGGTGCCTAAACAGCAGAGGAAAGAAGCAGCTGTCAGTTGAACAGTGAAAGTTCTGTCCCAAAACATCTACCACACACCTGGTGCACCCATTCTCTGTAGTTCTCGCTGATGGGCCCCCAATTCGGTATGTCGATTCTACTGTTGGCCACCTCGTCTGACCCACAGATCATTTCGTTTTCATACACCAGCTCGTTGGCAAGGAGCATGATGTCTGAGCACATTCGATACTGGCAGCGCAGTGCAGTTACAGCCTGGCAGCAGCGATCGACCACTGAGCATGGCTTAATTGTGCAGCAACAAGGCCGTGCTCTCATGCAGCTGCAACTTAGTTATTCCATCCCACAGTAAAGGGATTTCCTTGTCAGAGAATGGTTCAATCCTGTGGTGAAGCAGCATTGACAGGCTGGAGTCCCTTTCCCTCAACACCAACCTTGGCTGCAATGCAATGCCTGGGGTACTACACTGTGCCACTGTCATGGCCGGCTGATGTTGCCCATGAAAATAAACACAGGAGATCCTCAAATCCGCCCTGCAGTGCAGGGAGTGTAGGACCTGCGCTGCCAGAAGATCTACATTTCCGGCTGCAGATCGGTCTTCCTTGGAAGGGATCAGGATGAAGCATAGATTGATTGTACTGCACTCCTGGGTTGCACTTTGGGCATGCCACAAGCCATGCAGAAAAGTGCAAAACTTGGAGGTCAAGGGGGAAGTGAGCCACGTTGTATGTGGGCCGTCAATGGTTGATAGTATCCCGATAGCATAGTCATGACACAGCCCCGAAAAGCACACCCTTACCATAAATAACCCTATCACATTGCAAGCACATGGGCACGATTCCACCAAAAGATGAAACAGTGCCACCACCGAGAAGCAAACCTGAGGATGGGCCTCTGAGAGCCTGGCGAAGAGGCTGACCCCCAGCCCCTCCTCCAGCGCCCTTGGGCTGCAGACAAGAGGGGGCAGTTGTCGAGCATCCCCAACCAAAACGAAACGTTGGCTTCTGCAGAGTGGGCCTACTATGCAGGGCATGCTGATTTGACCTGCCTCATCAACTATGCAAACATCAAATCTCCTGTGAGCCAGCAGGGGATGGTTAATGCTGAGGCATGTCACACCAACCTGCGTGCACACCAGGCAGTACTCAAATTATCTTCTAAATGTCCAGGACGACTAAAGGAGTCAGAAGCATTACACTCAATAGAGAATCGTATATTCAAGCAAAGCAAATAGTGGCTTTATACCCAAGCAGCACAACATTGTCTGCAGGGCAGTCAGCTTCTCAGCCATTCCAAATGCTGTGCTGCCATTGCAAAGAATGGGAGCTGAACGTCTGTGGATGGGCATACCACTTTGATGCTCTGACAGATTTCCTTCAGGCCAGCGGTTGAGGTGTCTGGGTAGTGAGTGCCTCCAAGAGTATATCGGTGCAGGTCAGGATGTATGCTCTCATTTCTTCCCAGGCGGATGAAGGTTACCCCCAATGCTGCAAGCTTGAGAAGAATGTTGTCCACTGCACTGTTGGTATATGCCGTGACCAAAATTGAGCACTCGCTGGAGGCCAGTGCCTGATATATATAAGAGGATCCCACAAACTCAGCACCAGGGTGAATGATGCGTGACACAGACCATGCACACCAGCCACCACTTACGCACACAGAAAAGAAGTTACTGCAATGTGAATTGCACTTGCTAGTCCGATATGAGAAGCACTTCTTGATCTGGACATGCCTGTTTGCATGGTATTATGGCATGGTATTATGCACACATGTACTTGCATGCATACGAAATTGTACCCAAAATGGTACCTGTGCAGCAGAAAAAACAAGTTGTATTCCATGCCAGCGCACCTTCACAGCATTGGCGATCGTTGTCGTCTTGCCAGTCCCTGGCATTCCAAGAATCAGGCAATAATCTTGGACGTCTACCACATACTGTATGGCTTGCATTTGGTTCCTATTTAACCCATGCATGGGAGACAGTTGCTGGCATGTGTGTGATTGCCCCTTCAGTCAGACACAGAGTGCAGTCAGATCCTGCACCTTGTTGTGCCTTGTTCTGCACTTTCTTCACTGCACTTTGTGAACTTCAACGCAGTTTGCACACTCACATGTGTGCCAGCACACCATGCAGTTCACCTGTGCAGGTAATGAACAGTCCTGGATCAAAACTGCTGTGCAGTCTTGTTGCTTGCCACATTGCAACAGTCACATTGTTTGCAACATCCTATGAGACTGGAAAATAGCATTTCTCAAATACGAGGTATCACATTGCAACAAATAAGAGTGCTTCCACTTCTGCAGGAACAGGTGCAAGGTCCTGCACCACCAATTCTTTACCACATGGCAAGGGCTGCACTGTCGAGGTGGTTGTAGTTCCACTATGAGCTCTCGGAGACGTTGTTCATGCAGATTTTGCGATGAAATTAGCTCCACCAAATTGGAGCGCATCTGCTTGAAGACAGATTTGGAGCTGTCCTTGTCAATACGCCAGGGCCCTTCGCGATAGCGAGTTTGCCATCGATGGCTCAGAGGCCGCTTCAATGACAGCACAACTCCATCCTGAAATCACATGCTGCAAATGTGAGACCCCCAGCTGACAGCACTAAATCTCATTCCAGGTAGTCAGACAATCATCAGCAATCACATGTAGTGCACACTGTAGTGCCAATATGCTGACCGACCTACCTTCTGAAGCGAATGAACTGCAACCCTTGCCACACAGGCATGCTGTCCATCCAAGCTCAGAATTGCCATGTCACCTGTGGAAAAATGGTCGTTACATTGGCGTCGATGCTGGCCTGAAAGTTGTGATTGAAATAAGTACAGATACCTTTCAGAGTCGCTTTCTAAGCAGCCCTGCGAAGCACCAACAAGATTGACTGTGTCAAAACCACAACAAAACATGCAGAGCTGCTCAACACACTGAAATGCTGGCTTCCATACTATGTATTGTATTGTACTAGTATTCACCGCAGCCACACCAAACAAAAAAATTGCAATGAGTTCATAAGTTCACCAACAAAGTACCATCGCAGCATCAGAGCAGTCTTATGAGCGCCTTGTGCCTGGAAAGGATCCTCCTCTGACTTCTGCACCAGTTATGGGTCGAGAATCAGTTTTCTTGCACTGCATGTGGACTGGAAGCCGTTGCAACTTGGCAACAGTTGCGGCTGACCTGCAGGGTGAGTCCCGCCACACAGCCACCACCAGCTGCTTCCCTCTCCTCCCCCAACATTGCCCATATGTCACTGGACTTGTGTTTGGAACCGCCTTCTTCTAGATCCGTCAGACGCAACCATTGCTGCAGGAACTCTGCATACATGGGACTGACATGTGATGTGAACTGCTCAAAGAGAGGGCCCATGCCAGAACTTGTCAGTGAACCGCCATCAATCGCCTGAAACAAAGCACAGAGTACTATTTGCGAAAGGGCTGCTCAAGTCACTGCAACGCTGTATATGCAACTTTGCAAACCATATGAAAACTTGTGGTCCTCAAACAGGATATATTCTGCAATTTGTAGTCCAAAGGACAGGTGCTGACAAGCACAGCAGTTATTTTCCCGCCCTGCGTCCCATTTTCCACTGTGGCACACATCCTAAGTCACATTTCATAATACTGCACAGCTAGAAATCACAGGCATCTTTTCAGGGTAACAAGCAGCACAGAGGCTATGTGATGAGCTTTGTCTTACCTTGTGCAGGACTGAACACTCCCGATTCTGAGGGCATTTGCTGCAAATACGCTCATTCCCCAGCATATCTGGCAACTTCACCTCCTTTTGAGCCAGATGATGCACCAAGGCATTGCGCTGCTGTATGATCGATGCAATCTCAGAAGGGACATGCTGCACCCCCTCCATGGTGGGTTGGTTCACATACCACAAAAAACCTAAATTCACTGTAGTCTTGTACCGTTCTGAAAGAAGTAGCAAATAGAGGGCAACCTGACACACACACGCACACACACACACACATACATACACACACCAGGTGTAGTCATGTCACATCCACAGGTGATTTGGACAGGCCATCCTGCTCCAAGCAGTTGGTCGGAGGCCCCATGTGAAACGGTTTGCCAGGGACCAAGTTAACACAGGCAAACGGCAGTGATCTTCTTTGCTTCAAGCAGCATTTTGCAAGTCAAAGCCAATAGCGTGGACCATACCTGTGCAGCATGTGCGAAAAATGCCTTTCCAGTCTTGAATTCAAGTGGTGCAATAATGCCTGTTTCTGCAGCTGTGCCAGCCTCTCCCTTTTGGAATTTCTTTCCGTTAGAAACTCCACCAGCATCTTGCCCAGCACACTGTGAACTTTCGGACACAAAGCATCCAAAGGGCCTCTCAAGACATTCATGAACTCCAAGGCTGGAACCAGAAGATGGAATGCTTGCACTGGGGCCTCGATGGCCGGTGGGAGGATTGCCAAATGAAGATGGTCGAATGTTCAGGCTGCTCCATGCCTTCTCATGGTTGTTAGCTTCGATGGAACCGTTGTGCAGTGATCTTGCACTTGTGTGGCAACATGTGCTCTTGTTTGAGACTCTTATTCGCAACGTGGCATCAATTTGGCCTTTCAAGCCATAAGCAGGCGCCCAGATGGACTCTTCTGTGTCTTCCACATTGTGTATGGATATGATCTTTGTCCCCTCTTCGCACACCAGAATTCAATGGAGTCAAAAAGCAGTTGCATGTCAAGCAAGGGATCTACAGAGGACATGGGGTATGCGCCATGCTTCAGCTTCCTCGGGTGTTCCTTGGGACCATTGGAGACTGCACTGATGCCATTCACTACACAACATATAGACAGAACAGCACCTAACCTTGTGTTGGTCCATTTGCTGGTTTTGCCATTGCGCAGGCTTTTGGCCACGATCCAACATATGTCTGCAACCAGCCAAGGATGGAAGGAATGTGCCTTGTTAGTGCCTCAAAGCTCATTTGCTCATCCAGCCCAACTTCAAAAAGCTCTCTGCTGTGGCGGCATGTGATGGCCCGTGCTTCCTCCAACAGCTGGGAACGTGTAGTGCCTGATGATACTTGTTGCTTCAGGGCAAACTGCAGGAGTAAGAACGGCAAGTTTCAGTTGAACCTATGCACTGTCTGTGCTCACAACATTACCTGAGGCAACAAATCTCATTCTAAGAAAGCCAAAATATAAGCAACGTTGAGGACAAAACTGGACTGTGCCATTTGCTAGCCAGCTAAATGTGTTCCCCTGAGAAAAGCACCATGTGTCCAAAATGATGAGCTAGCAGCCGTGGCAGGCCTCCTGCTTGAGCCTGCACTTCAGATTGCCCAGTTTCCTGCTCACCTGGAACAGTTCATGTGTCATCGTGCCGTTGAGTGCCCTGTCATTTGGGTCCTTCATGTCCACCCACTCCTGAATGGCGGCTTGCCGTAGACAGCGTATCGCAGACGTTGTCCGGGTTCCTGAATCGCAGGCTATCGTAAGACAAGGAAATGCAACACAAAAAATCGGAACTGGCATATGGAACACAGCGCATAAAAGGATAGATTTTGCAACGTAACACACCAATGCTTGCCTGAGATCAAGAAGTCCGGATGTAGCACCAGCAGGTCGTCCACAGAATCCAGGAATGCGTGCTTGCTGCCATTGATGTCTTTGATAGAAGCAAGCAAATTGACACTGTCACCAGCTTGCAACGGTGTGTAGTACCAGGAACCAGTCAAATGTGCAGTGACCTCATCACCCTGGGCATGAATGAAGTAGATTCAGAATTAAATGGGACCATTATTCCAAACGCCGTATGCCAGAAGGCAATGCAGAATAGACTTAGCAACATTGCGGTTGCTGACTTTCTCTCTCTGTACACTAGCCCCTGCCCAGTATTGGAGCAGATTGCCAAATAGCATGTGCCCTAACAACAGCATTGCTGTCTGCACGCCCATTGGTACTGGGCTAGGTAGGCAGGTGAATGATCAAACCTTTTCTGATGCACATGTACCAAGAGGTATAACAAGATGGGCTTGCACAACAGATACAACAATCCACAATGGCTTCCCTGAAGTACAATAGGGCCATGGAGTGTGACAAAGACTCAACAGTCGTTCCTTGAGGCATCAAACACTGAAAAAACTCAACAGTTTCCACAGTGCACATGCTCACCTTGTACTCATTGCGCAGCTCTGCAATTTTCTCATTATTCCTAAATTCCACACTCGACACTATAAAGCGCATTCGTTTTCTGTCCTCAACCAATGTGTCGTAATCGAGGTGCTCAGACAAAGCACTCCGCCACTCCAAGCCTGGCGGTTTCAGTTTCCCTCCTCTGACACTGAGCCTTCCTTGGCTGCAACGCTGGTCAAGCCCATCAGGTGAGTTTTCTAACTGGAGTAAAGGACTCCAGCCACTGACCATCACCTGGCTCATGAACTCATCCATCTCCTCAGCAGTCCTTTTCTGGGTGGTATTCAGCATCTTGCTGCCAGGACCCAATGGTGAGCGCCCTTGGGAACGCTCCCCACATTGCCGAACGGGTGTTGTCATCACATTCTGATCCAGCCCACAAGTGTCCAACGACGATGAGGGCTGGCAGGTGGCATACTGGGGCATGGGGGATGGCAGCTGGTGCTCAGGCATCGTCTGGTGCACAGGCGTCCCAATGACATCACCTTCTAACAACCCTGCAGATGTTGTCCTGACCGCTATCACCCTTGCTGCGAAGCTATTCTGAGGCTGTGTTGATGTTGGGCTGTTAACCTCTAACTGCAATGTTTCAACCAAACACAACCACCTTCATGGATCAAATCAGGCCAAGATGGTCGCACGAGCAGCCATGAAAGCAAAAAGCTCAAAAGGTTCTATGCTTTGAAGTACAAAGCAGCATGAGCAGCATGATACGCATAGCATCAAGATCATGTGACTGTCAGTTGTTCATAGGCAGGCATACAGCCTGACAGTATGAAATCCAGCACCTGTTTGCCACAGCCATAGCCAATGTCGGCCTATAATGCTGGTCTGCAGGACTGCAAAATCAAAACCCTGCCATCAATTTCTGGTGTGTATGGCATGCCTTCTTCCATTGCAGCAGTGTGTACAGAGTTGAATTATTACAGACTTACGGTGCGCAGAATCGCCTCCATACGACGCCTTTTCTGTGCTCCTGACTTTGCAGTCCCTGATTGCACAGCCTGCGCCCTGACCATGCAAATGCACAAGCCACTCATCTAGGCCGTACAAGCAACCACAACACAGCTCAAATTTCCAGCAACAACATATCAAAGGCTACAACTCTGCCATCAGCATCAACACAAACATACTCCACATCAGATCCATTCTTGATGTGAGTCCAGTGACGTCACTTTGTGGGACAGGCAGGGCTGCAAGTGCATCGAACGAGCGGCACCCAGAATGTCAAGCATTGTGCCAGACTGATCTACCTGACACTGCCACCGTATTTGCCTTTTCCTGTTGAGTGGGCAGATACAACTGGTGGGGGCTGGCGTTGTGGTGTCTTGAAAGGTGTTTCTCCAAGCCGTCTGTCCTGCAGTATTTGGGAGAACAAAAACAAAAGACAAACCAATCTCACACCTTGAAACAGCCAGATTACAGGGGATGTTCATTCGGAGCGGGACATTTTTCATATTGGCCATGAAGGGTTGCCACCGTCCAGCACACCATTTCTTCACCATCCACACCATCATCACCATTGTCATTGCCAAAACAAAAGACAAAATTTCATAGAGAGCTTGGCACAGTTGCTCCAGACCTCACTGCCAGTCGTCCCCAAGAAGGTTGTCCTCCCTTGTTCAATTGTGTGGGTTTCTGGCTCCTTTGATGCATTTGCAAGCCACTGCATATACGATGCTGCTTCCTGGCACAGAGGTGACCCACATAGCAATCAAGTCCATACTTATTGCCCTTTTGGCACTTTTATGTCTTGATTTCAGTGAGATGGGTAAATGGCAGAATCTGAACAGCCATACACTATTGAACTGAAACTGTTCATGTTCATGCAGATGTTCACTAGTGCAGATTCTGCACAGTGGCCAGGGCTCACACAAACCTCATTGGCATATGCCCCATGGGATGTGTTGACCATCATAGAAAACAACTCTTGCCAGAGATTCAAACTACAATCGTTAAAGAGCTTGTGAAGATTTGCCAGCATGGAGATTGTTTTTCTTAATCCACATGCAAATCGAGCCACATACTGTTGCTGGAGATTTGCTATGGTATCAGTTATAAACTCGATGAATCTTGTGGTTCTGGGAAACAGGTGCAGATGCTACTGCTTACCCAAAATGAGGGAAAACTAGTCCAGGTATGGTGGATCGAATATCACACAATCACAACACCGCAGCCTGGAACCCAAGCACTGCAAACCCAAATTAAGTTCCACTGAGAGGTGATTTTCACTCAAGCTGGACTTCTTTCAACTTGGGCAAGATTGAACACATTTCCCACAGGAAGAAACACACCCTCCATGCCCGGAAAAATGAATCGCTGCAAGGGCAATCCACAGTTCTAAAAACCATATGCAGATGCCTGCCACACTGCACAGTGCACAGCAAATCTGCAGATCCAGCACGCAAAACAATGTAAAATTTTCCTGCAGTCCTGGCAGGTGTCAAAAAGTATTGATGTGATGTACCTTGACACGGTCAGTGGACACAGGTGCTGATGCTGGCATAGGCACTAGTTGAGGTGCCACTTCCTTTGGGGCGAGTGGGCTCATTGGAAGCTGCAACAACACATTCACTCTGTTGTCAGTAACAGGACTCTGCCAACACTAGTGGTCTCAGGAACTGCCAGCACAACATCCAGCTGGACCAAAGTCGCATTAAATGGCCTAAGTCTGCATTCTGCAGTGAAAAACCAACACACAAACCAAGGCTGCCAAGGGGCACTGGCTACTGGCCGTCCCCAATTTCTGGAGGTGGTCACCACTCACATCTAGATTGTGAGTCTCACATTGTTGCCCTCTGTTGCTGCCTCTCTTGTGGATCCTGGTGCCTGCAAGTTACATCTTTGTGAAATCCCCGTTTGGTAGGAAGAAACAGCCACACAAGTGCCATGAGCAACTGGTGCATTTTTCGAATTTGAGGGTCAATTTTGGCACTGCAACAGCCTCCTAACAGTCGCTGTCCCTGTTCCAAGTCAGTCCAAAGCGGCAGTTTGACAACATTCACAAAGTTGTGCAATACCCTGCAACGAGGGTATTGCATAACAAGGGTCCCATGTTTCTAAATTGTCTGCAGGACAATCAACATTTGCAGGTTCTAGTTTAAGCTGGTGGTCAATGGCAACAAGGCTATCAGTGGTGGCACCACAAGTCAGTTGCACTGATATTGGGAGCTCAGCAACAGGAGCCTTGCCACCTTGAGTGCTGTGATACCTGTGTTGCAGCCGATGGGAAGGTTTCCAATCGCCAAGTCCGGTTCAGCAGAATGCCGGACTAGGAAACCACTCGTGGGACGGCTCTGATTGGCGGGCGCAACTGATTTCTGAATTACATCCAAAATGTTCGTCAGCCACTGTGATGGACAGTCATTCAATCATGGAGCATACCCCAGGAGACCTTGCAAGCCTGTCAGTCTTGGAAGGTGACTGGACAGCAAACTGTGTTTCCAAAGCCCCTGTCACACTTCAGGATGGTGAGAAACAGCTCCATTTCGTTATCTATTGGAGGATCACATCTTTGAGTGTTAAATGCTGTTGAATGACAAGCAGCGTGCACAGACAGCAGTCAAGCATAACGTGCTTTACATCAACATTAAGATGACAAGGGTCAAATTGTATCCTTCAGGAGGTCGATCAGAAACACTCAGTGCACGATTTGTGTGTCAGCACAGAACAACAATCTGCTCCATGGCATCTGTCAATAGCCTGGTTGCTTGCTTTGCACAAAATACTTAATGCACTGTGTTCATCATGGTTTGGACAGTGCCAGGAGATGGTTTTCAAGCCGCAACTAGCTGCTGGTGCAAGCTTCAACTACACAGCTTTAGAAGCTGGCCACACAGTCCAGATGACATGTTAATGTGGTGGTGCTCCCAAGTTGGAAGAAAATCATGGCTGAAAAATCGTGTGCACACCCAAGATTCAACTTGCAGGGAATTCAACTGCAAGCAGTTTGCAAAGCACAGAGCAAGAAAACTTCCAAAATGCCCCTTTCCAGCTGCCAACTGTCTCTGTGGACAGCTGGAACAGCTTCCACAGCCAATTGTGTTGCATTGGCTACATCTGGCAACTTCAAGGGTGCCTACCAAACTTTGGGCACCAGCATCTCTGCCAGATGTAGCCAATCTAGCACATCACCTAAACAGTGGGTGTAGTGTTCCTGAAAACTTAGCATGGCATAATGTGCACTCCTCGGTCTACCACGCATTCACAACCAACTCTTGACTGAGCAGTAGCACTCCCAAGAGGAACAAGATGTCAATGTCTTCAGGGCACAATGAGCAAGGCGTGAAGCTGCAGCGATGCCAAGATTAGCTCACTACCTGTTGGCCCTTCCTCTTATCAAAATATTTGGTGATGTCTTGCACAGAAGACTTCCGGGATCCAGATGGCTTCTGCAATGGCAACATGCTGAAATTTTTAAAAGCAAATGAACTCATGCCACAATGGCCACCACCCTGTCTGGAGTGCGGGGTAGCAGATGCCGGGGTGGTGGTCATATTCTCGTTTCAAAATGATGCGGGGCTGCTGCCCTGGAACATGTTGTGTGAGCTGTGGCACATTGATATGAACCACATCTTCACTCTTGCCATGTGCACAGCCTGTGCATCACAAGTGGCATCTTTTGGGGATAATGGGTAGGCAATGGGGATGTTCAGCCTCCTGTGAGTCCATCCACATCAGTGCATGAGTGTGAGGAAATCGAGCGCAGGTGGCACTATATGGCCAATTGTGTACAGATACAACGCAGAAATGGCGGATGGTGCTTTACTGATGAAGATCCATGGACAGCACACAAAGCCAACAACTGCTGGCGTGTTGGATCTGCACAGTTATGCAGTCCACTCAAGCAGTAAAGTGCCTGCATTTGAAGCAAAACGTTGTAATGACTGGGGCCAAAGTTGTGTTGGCATGTGTCAAGTGCTATTAAATACAAGGTTTCGGATTTTTTGGTCATGTTCCACCGTGTTGTAGAAGAATACCCATGCCAGGATACAGGTTGCGTGATGCCCCTTACATTACCTGATGTATGTCGCTCTAAATAAAGCAACTGGCTAATGAAAGAATCATCTTGTGAATGGAGAACTGTAGTCACAAGGCCACAAAAAACAGATATATGCAGAGACACATGTGGCACAATTTCAACACTGTCGTCGACATGTTAGATCTGGGAAGCACTCAGCAAGTCAGGAAGGTCATTGTAGGGACCTACAATTGTGTAGAGGGAGTGATAAAAGACCTTGTTGCTCTTCCAAGCAAGTTCTTGTGCACAGATTACAAGCCAAAAAGTGAGGTCCAATTCAACCAGGCAGATGCCCAAAGGGAACAGATGCCCCCCATAGTTCAGAAAAATAGCTGTGTTGCTGTTTGCCGTAGTACACTCAACCCTTGCGCATAGTAATGTCACATTTGGCCATCTCTTGTGGAGCAAACTTTAAATTAACGCACTGAAAACACAAAAGCGTAGCAAAAGCGTAACGGTCAAACCTTTTGAAGTAAAAGGTTTGAATATACTACGGTACGGTACAAAGGTTCTGGGCAACCCACAAGGGTCAAAAAATGCACCCAATTCTGTTTCCTGAGCGGAAATCATCCTGGGATTGTGTTGCCAAAAAATGCAGATCACCGCACTACAGGCGCAATGGTCAACGCTTTGCTCAAGGGGCAAATGTCCCAAGGGAAAATTCAACTCCCAAGGCATTCCGGGACGTGCTTCTAATCAGCAGGACAATGTCTTGTTCTTCTGAGTCGACGAAATGGCGCCAATCGCCAACTCCGCAACTTGTACGAATCTCTACGCGTCCAGATCCTCTGCATGGCTGCCTTTGTCTCGTTGCAGCCAACGACACCTATCAGGAACAGTTTTGAACCCGTGTTCCTGCTGCCGCGAACGGCACTTGCTTCTTGACATGGGCCCACTCACCCTTCCCATCGCAGTACTTCTGGTCTCAACCGTTGCAGCGCTCGCAGGGTGGACCGCAGGAGGCGCAGCTCTGCATGGGCCACCGCTCCCAGCAGCTGCAGCCCCGCGGGCTACAAGGTACACGGCCAGCTGTCGTCTGCTGTCGGCATCGAGGGATGTGGCGGGAAAAGGCGCAACACAAAGTTGGCACCCAATGTTGGTGGCAGCCGGTTGGGGCTGGATACGCTGATGACAAATGTAAGGGTGGCCTATTCGCCACCCTAGTTAGGCCACCTTGGTTAGCTAAGCAACGGCCGCCCACACTGGCAGCGTCGGTTCTTGCTCTTGTTAATTCGTCATTGTAGCTATGTTGTTCTGGTTATAGTCATAGTAATTGTTGCTCTCTTCGTAGATTGCGCATATTGCGGCGTTGACTAATTCACTTGATGCACAACCTCCATTTATTATTATTTTGTGGGATGCATTCCAAATGTCATTTTTTGGTTCACATCCTCAGTTTGGACCAGAGCGCAAAGGGCCATTTACTTGCATTATAAGGGGTATCGAAACCCTTCAGGATGGTATTGATGTTGACACAACTATAGACTGCCACTAATTGAGGGTTGTTTGAGTCACCGTAAAATGGATTGTAATTGACAGCCATCTTTACCCGTTTATGGTGCTCGTGCATGACATTACCATTGCCAATGACCTCACTGAATAGGGTGCCCTGAGTACACCATTGTTTCAATCATATCTGAATGATATTTCACATGATTCATATGTGAAGGAATGTTGCGGTCCATTGGTAGCCGCTGGTCTCCCGAGGCTCTGGGGTCGCCCTGCCCTGTAGCACAGCCGTTGGAGGTCGGCTGGCCTCTCCACCTTGGACGGTAGCCGTAATCGGGGCAGTCGATTCAGCAATCGCGTGGTGGGCCCAATGCTCGATGGGGATCGATCCCCGGGCCTGCTATTGGCGAGCGGTGGCGGCGCGGCGAGGCGGTGGTTTGCTGGCTCGCGGGAGGCTGGAGAGTGGGCAAGAACAGTGTTACACGATTCACAGCATGCGCAAGCACATATCGCATGCGCGATGCCCGATCGCGGGTCCATCACTATCACATCAAGACAATTGTCTTGCAAGACAACACAAGTGCGCGTCCAGGCACATTGTCACCATCCACCGTCCACCTACAATCGACCCATTATCCTCTAATTCCAAGCATCTAACACCCGACTCCCTGCCCCTAAGTAGTACAATTTCAGGAGGCTATAACTTCACCGTTTCTTAACAGAATTGAGCGTTTAAAAGCTCATTGGAACCAAGAAGCTCTAAATAACATCCCAACAGGTGGATATCCCAAATTACTAATTCCCACTTTAGAAATTGTCAATTAAGCCTAAACCCCAAGCAGCCATGTCACAATACTCCCCTCTTAGGGTAGCTTTTGCCCCCGAAAGCACACTATCCCATACTAGTGTCTTCCTCAGGCTTGTCCCTCTTGATCATCTTCTAAAGCTCCATAGTGTAGGTGAAATATCCTGCTCGTACCTAAGAGGCGTCGTCAATACTCCACCCTGTCTATAGCACTAAAAATTGCTTGTGCCTCCTGCCATTGGGTCCTGCTCATCTCCATCATGGCAACTTCTCGATATCATAGGGTTCATCATCCTCTGGCTCAATCTCGGCATTGTCTTACTCCTATGGGGTTGACCATCTGGACGATTTGAATGGTTGTAGCAAACTAGTGTGAAAGATGTTATGAGTCCTCCACCTTGCTGGTAGCTTCAATTCGTAGGCCACTGGTCCCACCTGGCAGATCACAACAAATAGTCCCACGAATCTCCTCTTCAGTTTGTGAACAGGTGCATTTTTCAATTGTAAATGCTCTGCGCTGAGTAGCACCTATTCCCCATGGACGGCGATGCGCTGCTATTGATCACAAACTCCACCATGAGTAAGTATCTTTCCCAATGTGTGACTTCCTGGCTGCCATGAATCATAAATATGAGGACTTGCTCCACCACCCTGTTGGCTGCCTCCATCTGTCCATTTGTCTGGGGGTGGTGAGCACTAGACATCCTTAGCTTACTGCCCAAAATCTTCCAGAATTCCTGCTGGAACTTCAACACAAATCTTGGATCTCGGTCATTGATTATCGATCTAGGGATCCCGTGTAGTCGTCCAATCTGCTCCTAATAAACTCGAGCTGTCTCAATAACAGTGATGGTCTACTGGACAGGCACTAGATGTACTATCTTGGTAGATCGGTTTATAACCATAAGGATCCCATCGTTTTTTCTTTCACTGACCGGTAGATCCATGATGAAGTCGAGGCTGATGTCACTTCATTTTTCTTTTGGAAGTTGCAATGGCTACAGTAGTCCAGCTGGCGATTTGTGGACACTCTTTTCTGATTGGCAGACCTCACATCCCAGCACAAAGTCTTGTACATCCACTGTGTGATCTGGCCAGTAAAAATTCTTCTACAGTTTCTTGAGTGTCTTGGGGTAACCAAGATGTCCTGCATATGGTACTATATGTATCTCTTCCATAATCTTCCTGCGGGCGTCCTCTATATCTGGTACCTGTAAAGATTGGTGCCTGGACATGGCACGACCCTTCAGGGTTGGCGGAGTGGAATTTGACATGTGGAAGATTTGTTTTTCGGATCACAGCACAAAATACGGCCAAAACCGTTCATAACAGGATGTTGGGTTTATCCCTAGTGTTATGCACACTGGTCGGATGTGGGGGACGCCCTACTAATGGCCCCTTGGTGTGGGGGATGCCCTGTCCACAGAGGTGGGCCGTCCAGGAACGGGGACGGACTAGGAACGGGGACGGGGACGGGTCCCGGCAGGGAACGGACTGGGACGGATCTGAGACGGTATGGCCCACCTAGGAGTCCGTTCCTGTACTGCCCAAGGCCGGTCTAGAGTCCGTTCCAGGCCGTTCCAAAGGCCGTTCCAGGCCGTTCCGAAGGCCGTTCTAGGCCGTTCTGAAGGCCGTCCCAGGCCGTCCTGGAACCCGTTCTAGAAGCCGCTCCACAATACATAACAACATCAAATTCATGCGTGGACCAATAAGAATGTAGCGATCAGATTTGACGCATGGGCCGCGCGCCCCACGGTCCACAAACGTGGTGCCCCTGCCCCCCTGCGACACAGTTTGCGCCTGATGCGATTGGTGGCAAGACCAAGCAGACGCAGCGGCGGCGGCATGTGAAGGCCGGGGAGTCACGGCCCCCGGCCCGACATCACCAAGGCGGCCCCCCACAGCCTGCGGCAGGGGATGCCCGGGGCCAGACAGAGGGGCGCCCGGAAAGGCGGTCCCCCACCCCCCAAGGTGAGGGATCCGGGCATGCGGGGATGGCGGTGGCGGTGGCAGCGGTAGGGGGGGAAGGCCAGGGGACGTCTGTTGGCGGCAGCGCCCCACTCCCGGACTTGTTTGACTTTTCGCATTTGGTGGCGGGGGGCCTGGGGGACTCGGATTTGGAACCCAGCGCGGAGGGGGCTCTGAACCTACAACAGCTGCCAGCTGTTGGGGCATCTGAAGGGCTGTTGCCGGCCGGGGATCCCGAGGGGGCGTCTGTGAGTGGCATGGTGGGGTCTGCATCTGTACCGGCGGCGACACCTGGGGCCCTGTTGACGGCATCGGGGGCGGCCGCCTCTGGAAGCGACGTGAAGCGCGCGGCCGGCGGCGAGGGTGGGAATGCGCCCTCAAGGGCAAAGCGGGCCCGAACGGAGGGAGGGGGTGGGGTGGGGGTCGCCTCTGGCAGCAATAGGTGTGTGGCCCCGCCATTGGGACCTGGGCAGAGCGGCAGCCGGTGGGTGAAGCCATTGTATGTGGAAGAGGAGGGGCGGCCTGGCATCCTTGCAAGATATGACAGTGTTACGGGGAAGGAAGACGACCACAGCAAGATCATTTGCCGCATATGCGGCAAAGGGATTTCCTTCAAGTCGTCATCCTTCTCGACTGCGGAAAAGCATATGGGGCACCACAAGGTCACGCGACGGACGCTGTCCGTTGCCGTGGAGCTGGCAGACAAAGCACGGGCGGATGGTGTCGCTTTTCCCATGGCTGAGTTTCTTGCGCGGACGGCTGAGGAGGGCCGTGAGGTGGGAGTGGCACATTACATGCAGCAGGAGGCCTTTGCCACAGGAACCGCCCCGTGGCAGCAAATGCGGTCAGCGATCACCCGCTGGATCGCAGCGGATAGCATTCAACTATCCGTTGTTGAGTCTCCAAACTTCCGCCGCATGTGCAAGGCACTCAACGGCCGCTGCCCCTCCTTCAGCCGGAAGGCCGTCACCAACGAGGTCCGCTGTTACCACGTCGTCGCATGCATTGTGTGCAATATGTTCTGTTGTCCCATGGTGTCCATGTGATACAGTCCGCAACACACAACTGTGTTGGTTGTCAGCCTGAAAATAGTGTCTTTGTTGTTATGGCAGGTGGCATCCATGCACCGCCAGGCGGTGCAGAAGCTCCGGGGGATGGAGGAGTGGAATAAGGTGCGGCCAGCCTTCACCTGCGACCTTTGGCGCTCTCGCACGCGGCGAGAGTATTTTTTAATGACCATGCACTGGGTGGAGGAGACGCACCAGCATGACGGCCATGCCAACCGCCAGTGGCGGTTGCGGAGCAGGTGCATGGGGTCAGTGCCTCTGGAGGCGGAGAGCATCACGGCTGAAGGTGAGAGGCTGTGCAGCGAATGGGTAGCAGTGACTACCCAACTGGCAGCTGGTCGTGTTGTTTGTTATTTGTGATATTCGCCTTTGTTGCTTGTCGCAAGCAGTTTTTGTATGCAGTGGTGGTGGACCTGGCCCGCAAGGAGCTGGAGAAGTATGGGATGATGGGGTGAATGGGCAGCAGTGACTGCCCAAGTACCAGCTAGTCGAGTGGTTTGTTGCTTGTCACAATGTGTTTGTGTATGCAGTGGTGGTGGACCTGGCCCGCAAGGAGCTGGAGAAGTATGGGATGACCGGCTGGTGGCCGTCCTTTGTCACGGACGCTGGGAGCAACGTCA